TCTCTCTCTCTCTCTCTCTCTCTCTCTCTCTCTCTCTCTCTCTTTCTCTCTGTACTACACGAAAATGACTGCTAAAATGCTGTTCCATGTGACTCTGTATTGTGACATGCCTCTGTGTTTTATGCGGCTCATCTTGGCCTGGCTGTTGCCTCATGTGACTCTCCTGATGTGACGTAGCACTATGTCATGTCACTTAACTGTATTGCTCCTAGTGACCCAGTGTATCTCCGTTTTGGTTGGTTTTTCATTGGACGCGGTCTGCTTGGTCAGCTGTTTCTGAACTGAAACCTGGGCTGGTCAACTTGTCAAAGTGGTTGGAATAGAAATATACATCACTCTCAGGAGTGTGTGTGGAGGGGGGGGGCGGAGCTGTTGGCTGTGGGTGGTCAGAGAATCTGGCAACACTTTTGTGATGGGCATTACTTGATTGGCAGTGTATGACCAAAGTTCAATCTGTTGTAGCTGTTGCGTTGTTGTGTTGTTTAGTTTTTTATTTTGCTCCCTCCCCCCCACCCACTATTTTTATAAGAATTTGAGTTCTAGACTTACCCTAAGATTGATTAGGAATTGATCCTTAAGGGGGGGGGGGGTTAAAATTATGTTGGTATATTAGTCAAAAGTTGCTTTAGCATCTCGTGGCTGTCTTTTCTTGACATTCTTTGTACTTGTTTTTGTTTACTCTTAGTCTCTCATATACGAAGGCTACATTCACTCCACCTCTCACAAACGTATGTTCACTCATGCATGCATACCCCCTTACCTTTTCACCCTCACTCACACACTCGTAGTCTCAGTGTGATATTAACTATTTGAATATTTATTGAGCTCTGCTGGTGGTTGGCAGGTGCCACTGGTAGGTCCTTCTGCTTTTCTCTCCTTTTCTTTCTGTCTGTCTATTTTATCTTTTTCCCCACACTACATAACAGATTTTGTGTGGATGTGCCTCTCCTTACTCAAACTCACTCAAAAACCTATAAATCTCTGTTCCTCAGGAGAACCGCCATCTTCATGACTCCAACGAGGAGTTGAATGCCCAGTTGCTAACCAAGTGTATCGGAGAGGGTCGGTCCCTCATCAAGGACACAGGGGGTCAGTCTTTGGCACAGGAGTTGGAGCATCTAACCAAGGAGGAGGTGAGTGGTAACTAGCGATGTAGTGAGCTCTGGATGCCGATTCGTTACCCACTCGAAAAACGAGGGGCCGGTTTGTGAGCACTGGGTTAAACGATTTTCCAATACTATTTTACAATAGCTATGTGGCTAGGGTGTACCTGGATTCGGATTATCTGATCATGTGGGTGGGGGCGGGGGGGGTGGGAAGAATGCTCTCTTGGAGGTCATATTGTCTTTAAATTTAAAAGATTTAATTTGGTCACTTAGATATGTCTTTCTTCCTTGCCAAACAATACCGAACTATCGTACAGTGTTGCACTCTTCGTGTATGTC